ATAACCACAGCCGCATGCGCATATGTGGTACTAAGACTAGCCCTTTGGGTGCGGACCGGAGGGGAAACATGGTCCTGACAGCCGTGCTAGCCATCAGGAGTCAGCCCCTGACAATCAGCTTACCTTTGACCCTGGTACAATGGTAATCTCTAGCCTCAGGAGCTTCCATTCAAATCAGTCATATAATAGTCAGGGTGTATGCAAGAGACTTGGAGAAAAATGTCAGACCGTAGAGGAGCCACTTAGAGACAAAGATGGGAGGAATGGCAGGAGAAGATTTGGTGGACACCAGCAGAGCAACGTCCCTAGGGAAAGAACAAGTCTGGACCAAAGACAAAAGGTGAGAGAAGTGGAGTATGTGACACTAGAATCTGTCCCTGTGGGGAGCTGATGAGAGGAGGACCAGAGGCAGGACAGTAACTTCATGAAAGGACAGGACAGTAGGGCAGGTGAGAAGGCAGGGCACATGTATCCTACAAAATGAATATAAGATGTCTTGGTTACTTGTCATCACTGTGACCAAAATCCTTGCCATAAACAATTTCAAGGGAGGCAGGATTTATCTTAGCTCATGTTTCAGAGGGCTCAATCCATGGAGATTTTGCCCCATACTCTTGACAGAACATGACAGTGGCAGTGTGTGGCTGATCTTCAATTACTGGTAAACAGGAAGCAGAGAGAGAGAGGGGAAACACAGGAAGGAGCCCAGGTGGTATACAGCCTGCAAGGACATGTCCACAGTGAACATCTTTCAACTAAGTCTCACCTCCTACCTTTCCCCACATAACAGCATCATGTTATCTGTGAATACACTGAGGGCTTGACCGATCCATCCATGTTATCAGAACCTTCATGGTGCTCTTGTCTCTGGAAATGCCCCTCTCAGATGTGTGCAGGGGTGGGTGTTACTGATCTCCTATTCACTTCACAATCCAATCAAGCTGGCAATCAGGATTAGCCATGACAGAGGGCAGCGCTATATTGTATTGTATAGAGTTTATCCAGAATATTCAAACTTAGGACAGACATATTTTTAATCAACAGGGAAAAAAATAGTGTGACAAGATCTCCAAATAGTAAGTCATTAAGTAAACGAAGGGGGCAGAAGGAGGGAGACAGAGACACAAGGGGAAAAAACACAGTTGTTTATGGTTGTTTGGATTATTTGGGGATGAAAACTCAATGTGAAAATATGAGGTCATCTGAAGGATTCATTTTCTTTTCCAAGGTTTGAGGCAATTCCATGCATGATACAGGATCTGCTCATTGTTTTTCAAATAACAGTGAAATTTCCGTTGCCTCAACCCCCAATGACAGGGCTCCCCTCCATTGGGTTTTGTGTACTTTAAATGATAGAAAGCAAAGGACATAATTAGTGAAGAGTCAACACATGGGGAAATCTAACCATACCCTCCTACCTCATCATTTCTTCTCAGTGATGGAAAATGGATGCTGAAGGATTCACACATTTGGTACGGCCCTCATGCTCGATAGTAACACATGAGTGGCCAATTTGAGGGGAGATGTGCCCATTTCTTCCTTAGATCTGCTCTCATCACTTTTAGTCCTTTTTCTTGGAGATGGAGTGGCTGACTATGTAGCCAAGAATGACCTTAAACTTTTAACCCTGTCTCCCAAGTGCTGAGGTTACAGGTCTGTACCCCCATCTACACGGTGCTGAAGATCCAGTTCAGAGCTTCACATATGCCAAGCAAACCACCTCTCCACCAAGCTCCACTCATAGCCTGGACTGTAATTATTTTTAAAGTTTCTTTTCCTCCAAGAACAATGGACTGAAATTCTGAAGTACAGACAACTACCAAGATGTTGTTATCTAAAGAAGGGGAATTTTTTAAAAGATTTATTTATTTATTTATTATGTATACAGAAGAGGGCACCAGATCTCATTACAGATGGCTGTGAGCTACCATGTGGTTGCTGGGAATTGAACTCAGGACCTCTGGAAGAGCAGTCGGTGCTCTTAACCTCTGAGCCATCTCCCCAGCCCTAAGGAGAATTTTTTTTATTCTTAGATTCAACAAATGCAATGATTTGAATATGTCCCCTCCAAAACTCACGCTGGAGCTGGATCTTACGAGGCTGGGCCTCCAGAAGGCTACTAGACCATGTCAGCTCAGAGGATACTTTTTCTCTCTTGCCCTTCTATCTTCCACCTCATGAGGGCAGAGCAGCAAGATGCCATGTTGGAAACAGAGAGCAGCCCTTACACAAGCTCTGGTACCCTGATCTTGGACTTCCCAGTCTCTAGAATGGAAAGAAATCATCTCTTGTTCCTTATATATCACCCCATCTTGAACATTGTGTTACAGAAACCAGAGCAGACTAAGACAATGGGCTTTGAATTACTGTGAACTTGCTACAGAAATGTATAAATCCTTCTTCATGGACCTCTGGGGATCCAAAGAAGTGATGGATCCCTGGTTTGGTCTCCCGACACTGCAGATCCTGGATGAGTCTCTCTGTCTGCTGTAGGTGCCTGTCTGTGACAGGCAGGTTGTTTATATGGTGCCTTACTTACAGAAGGGAGACCCAATGACAACCCAGGGTAATGGGTGAGGGATGAGGGGAAAGTGCGCGCATGTGCTTTTGGCATGGCACTCTGCCCCTCTGTACACTTTGAAGACAAGCTCATACCATTAAGTTCCAGGTGCCATTAGTGTTCATGACAAAGAAGATACAAAAGGGCCAGAAGGAGGTACTTGCCATCAAGCCTGATGACCTGAGTTCAATCCCTGAACCAGTATGGTGGAAGAAATGAACCAATTCTCACAAGTTATACTCTGATCTATATGTACATGCATGTGCATGCCCACACACAGATAGACAATAGATAGATAGATAGATAGATAGATAGATAGATAGATAGATAGATAGATAGATAGATAGATAGACAGACAAATAATAAAGTGAAGAGTATGTACTAGGCAGCCCCCTGGATCTTTCCCACCTCTATGAAAGCTCAGCCCCAAAATTCCTGCAGTTCTGAAGAGACAACTTCTGGAGTCCTTGCTCACTGCTGACATCATCCGCAGTGTCTTCTTCCATTGTTACAACCCACGAATCTTAGGTGCCCAGTACCTGTCTCCCTAAAAGGAACCCACCAGGAGCCCCAGCCCCTTACGTCTCCCCAAGTCAAACCTTCCTTCAGTGTTTTGTTTTGTGAGTCTGGCAGTTTTCTGTGGAATCCTCTCCACCACTGAATTTTCATACTCAAAGAGCACCAAGTTAGGAGGTGAGAGGTCAACTCCAAAGAGCACTAAGGGCTCGCTCCCTCCAGTGTGGAGACCGGGTAGGACAACTTTCACCTCCCTCACTGACAGGGACCTCCCTCTCTCAGTGATATGATCATCAGCAAGTTCTCCTGCATCCACAGAGAGCCGGGGAGGAGGGGGGGAGGGTGGCTCCCTCCCCTTCTAAGTTTTCATTCAGCCTTTGCTCACACACTTGGGTACTTCACAGAGCCATCAAGATGGCCTTTAACACAGTGACCCAAAAGATTTCTGCCTGCAGTGACTTCCCACTCCTTAGCCAACGTTCGCCTACCTGTGGCTACACTCTGATAGGTTTCTTGGGTCCTGGGATCATCTGGGCTTGCGACATGTCCTCCCAAATTCTTACATCTCTTTGTGCCTGCTCTGCATAGCAGGAATGTAACATCCCAGTGAGCTTGGGTTCCCAGCTCAGTAGTTCAGACATCACTGAGTTTCACACACAGGTGGAGCTAACAGTGGTCCTTAGCAGGTGACCGGCATACATGCATGTTCTGTCACTTCCCCATATCTAAGCCAGCCCAGATGTTTAGAGGAGAATAAACATGGCACCCTGATACAATGAGCTCCTCAAAAATGGCCCCCAGTAAGCCCTCCCTGCCACCTAGTACAGATGGTCTCTTCATCCAGGACACTGGCCCTCTCTTCCTCATCCGACTTGTCCCTTCCTCAATCAGAGTCCCCTCACTGTATTTGTGGCCTGCATGCCACTGTTCCTAGGCATAAGGAAAGCCCTATGGTATACTCTCCAGACCCACATGAAATTAAACTTTTGTGATATTCTTAATAATTTGACATCACCTAATTTTAATCTTCGAACTAGACATTATCTCCGTGTTATAGACGTGGAAACTGAGGCACACAAACCCTCTGACTTCATACCCAGTGTTATTTATTCTAGATCCTGTTTACTCTGGAGCCTGAGAATCTTAGAGAAATTTTTCTAAGGTTTAGCTCCAAGGATCCAGTAAAGAGAGAATTGTGAAGCAGAGCAGAGGTCCCAACCATCTGCTATTTCTGTCTCTGCTATGAGTGAACTCAGATGAAGCTTCCGGACCCTCCGTTCCCTTGTTGATAAAATCGTGAGATTGAATTAGACAACCCTGCTGTCCCACTCAGCTGTCCTTGGTCTCCAGTCCTGTCTCTGCCTTGCTGCTAAAATTAGGCAGACTACATAGTTCAAATACCTTTCATTTTTGGTTCGCATGGCTTTAAACTCCCTAAGATTAGCTATATATCCAGTGTTTGATTAGTTATACAGGCAGCTAGCGGGTCAAGAAGGAATACACCTGGCGTCTCTTTAATAGTCTCCTTTTGGTAGGTTCATGAGCAGGTAAGTCTGGGATCACCAGCCGCAGGTCTGTACCTACAACATCCATACCCCAAGGAAGCCTATCTTTAGAGTCATATTGTATTCTTATAATAGTAGTTCTCAACCCAGGGCACATCTGACTATTCCAGAACATAGTAGGGAAAAGGTATACTGACTTTAGTAGACAGAGGCCAAAGACGCTGATAAGCATACTGTAATGAACGGGAGAATCGTCTGACTCACAGTGTCTGCAGTGCCCCATTGAGAAACCTCAACATCAAATGCCAACTCAAAGAACAGTCCTAAACGCCTTCTAACGCTTTCAGATGATCCAGTCCACACAGGAGGTTCACCAGCTCGGTGTAGCCACGAGAACCAGGGACCTGAGCATCTCTTACCGTGCGAAGAAGGAAGCAGCCACCGAGGTACCTGTGGAAGTCTCACTGGCCACACAGGAGCCCTGGGAGGCAGGGACGCTGCTGGCTGCGGGCTTGTCTGCGTTGTAGCGGTTCAGCGCCGACTCTGTCAGCCCCTCTCGGCCAGTCTCTGTCATCAGCTGGGAGATCTGACCAAGAAAATGACATGGAGTTCATTACCTGAGGCTCATGGAATTTCTTCCCAGGGCCAGCAGCTTGCTGTCTGGAGGATGGGCTGGGTTTAATTCCACTCACACTCATAACCTGGGGTGCACGGGGTTTCGATGACCACTTCCCAGCATGTTAGCCAGGCCACGTCCTTGTTTCCACTTAAAATAATGGAGTAAAATAAGCCCCGACATTGTAGGTTGCATCACACCTACATCTTCCCTTCCTGGGGAGGGGAAAGTGTCACTCATTAGCCACATGCTCTTCACAGGCCGGGCTCAGAGCTGTGACATGAACTAATGCTAGCTTCACAACAGGAAGGCCCAAGCACTCACAAAGTAGAGAACAGGCAGAGGTTCCGTCTGATGGAGGCACAAGCAAGCCTGTTAATGAAGAACACGGGGCATTCAGATAAAAGGTTCTCGGGGGCCGTGGTTGGGGTCCGCTGGGGAAAGACGGGTGGATTTCAGATGCAGATAAAAATAGGCACAGCTACCATGTATTACCAATGGCTTTTCATGGAGTATTTAGAATATTTTGGACTTCATTTTCCTTCAGATCCATTAACATGACCATCAATGATTTCTGCTTTGTTTCCTTTTGTTGTTTGTTTGTTTGTTTGTTTTGCTATTTGAGACAGGATTTCTTATATAGCCCAGGCTGATCTAGAACTAGATATGTAGCTAAGACTAGCCTTGAACTCTGCAACCTCCCGCTTCTACCTCCCAAGTGCTGGGATTACAGGAATGTGCCACCACATCTGGCTATGGTTGGTTCTAACTGTCAACTTGATACAACCTGCGGTCTAGATCAAGTTGGCCTGTGGGCACGTCTGGAAGGGCAGGGGCTTTTCCTTAACTGGGTTAGCTGATGTGGAAAGACCCACCCTGAATATGGGTGGCATTTCATAGGCTGGGCCCCGAAATGTATAAAAGTGAAAAACATGAACAGAGCAAGTAGACATGCATGCATCCATTGCTCTGCTCCTGAGTGGGGGTGTGATGTAACTAGTTTTAGATCCTGGCTCCTATGACTTCCCTGATCTGATGGACTGTAACCTGGAATTGTGCAGGAAAATAAATCCGTCCTTCCTCGACTGCCTTTTTTGCTGGGGTATTTTATCACAGCACCAGAAATAAAACTAGAGCATGCATTGTTTTTGTTTTGTTTGTTTAAGAACAGATCCCTTGCAGCATAGACTGCCTTGAACTTCCTAAGTAGCAGAGACTGTTGCCATTTTATTTCCAGTGATTGTCTTGTAACAGAAGTCCACATAGACGGTCTACTGTCTATCCCCCACAGTCTACTATAAAGACCCATACTTCTGGGGAAAATGAGGATATGATATGGAAATACACTTATGTTCATCTTACATAATATGGTGATTATGGGCTAAAACTCTAAGTGTGCTATGTGGTTACTTTAAAACTTTAATTGACTTCCAAAGGGGAAAACATTAGCTTAAATAAACAAACAAAAACAAGGATAACTTCGGTTAAACAAAAAAAGGTCTTTGGCCTGCCACAACCCTTAAATGCTCAATGGAAAATATGTCCATCACTTATAAGACACAGGTGTAATAAAGCCCGGGGCAGGAACCTTTTCTCTTGGTCACTAAGCAGGGTGGCTGGCCATGATGGAGCCTGTGTTAACACCAGGGACGTGAAACTAACTATTTATACTTCTCCTCGGTATCAGCAGAACAGCCGTTTGCTCTGTTTCCCATTGACTCAAAACTTCACTCTGCTTAAATTCCTGCTCTAACTTGGGGAGTTTGGCATTATTCAGTGGACAGTCTGCCAAACCACACTTTCCTACTCTCATTCTACACACAAGAAAGAACTGTGACCCCCATGAGAGCAGCTGGAGAGGCCGCAGCATAGAGAAGTCCCGAAGGATGGCGTCCCTGTATTCCATGGGGGTCACTAACTCTCCACAGGCATAGGTCACCTCTGTGGGCTTCCTATGCTGCCTAAAGCTGCCACAGCCCAGAGGGGACAACGAGGAGACTGCCACACACACGTTGTCCCTATCCGCTGGTAATGATAAAGCCACAGGCGGTGCATGTTGCTCTCCTCGACAACATCCAGGAACAAAACCAAACTCAGAAATCCACAGCACCTTGTTTCCATCTGAAGCACACATCTGGTTTTCACTCACAATGACATCTGAGAAAAGTCAGCAAGTGAATGTGGCATTAGGGACACCTTGCACACACACCCTGGTGAGGTCAGTGAGCAAGTCTCACCCAATGCTCTGTGGATGTTTCCTTTCCCATGATTTTATTTCTTCTGAAATGTATTTTGGGTCTTTTTTATTTTTCAAGAGTGCTTCCATTTTCCCTGCAGTATCTACACTTCGGGTTATACTCTGCAAGTTACCCATCACAGGGTAATGGACCAGGCCTGGCTTGTCCACTGTATACCAAGGTCAGCATAACAGCACACAGGTAACAAAAGCACATTTGTGGGATGGCGCTAGACTATATTTTATTTCCTACTGCTCACATCTAACTGATTAAATCTTCTTTTCTACAGTCCTTTAAATTAGCAAACGTATTTCTTTTTTCCGATTTCATTATTTTGCTGGGCACGTCCACATTCGTGCTGGGCAAGAATTCTCCCCCTGAGTATCCTCCAGCTCTTCCTTTCCAGTTCAGCTGTTCTTGGGGCTTAGCTGTGACAGGCACTTCAGTGGGCACATTTGCAAACATGTCTTCAGGTCTCAGATGCCTTCAGTATTTACTCCACTATTTACCTTCTTTGTAATTTGTGCATGAGTCCCTGGCTGACAGTCTGTTGTACAAAGACAGGCTAGCTGGCTGCATTCGACGCCTGGGCTCTGTCCAGCTACGTCTTTATCCCTGGAAGTCAGAGGAGCCAGGCCCCCTCTTAGAAGTGGCCGTAGCTGTTTAAACTCAACAATCAAAATCATATTGTTTCCAGATGATTCTGAGAAAGGAGTCTGCTTATCAGATGTGCCACCGTTCATCACCACCGCACTGGAATGCAGGCTTCTGAATGCTGGAGCTCAGTGGATAACGTCTCACCAAGGGGCTGTCACGCATGTCACCAAGTCACTAACTATCAAGAACTTACTCCTCCCTCCAACCTTGACAATTATCACTAAGACAATACCGCCAGTCGTGAATGAATCACCTCAGCGTCAAAAGGACAAATACTTGCCCACTGGATAATACTGAGTTAGGAAAGATCTGTCCAATACAAATTCCTTCTTTGGCTTCCAACTGGAGATAGCCCACCCCAGAGCTGTCCACAGGTTAAGCAGAAAGGCTGAAGATGCCAAAGGCATTGCTGTATCTGCCAGCCCTCTAAGACGGAGAAAGTCCTGTCCCTTCTCCAAGGCCCACGGGAGACAGACAACAAGCTATGTAGACAGCGTGGCCCTTGCTCCCCGTTCACAGTTGACGACAGAGCTGCGAAGAAGACATCCAATGTCACATAGCACACTGGAAATGCAGGCCCTGTCTGATGCCTTTCTGTCTCCCTTCCTCAGACCATCTGTTACCAGAGTGTACTGAACAAGCTGAGGACCGGGCAGATCTGGGGGATTATAGAAAGTAAACCATGCTAAGTGTCTCACTTCATGACATCTGGGGGCAAAGAATTAAACCAGGAAAGTAGACATAGACTAGAAATTTGTAGTGAGCCTAGAACATATCCTGTCTCAGAATAAAGTCACCCACACATCTGGTGTGTGTGTGTGTGTGTGTGTGTGTGTGTGTGTGTGTGTGTGTGTGTGTGTGCACACTATCTGTGATATGATAATGAGAGACTTTCAGATGTGCTTTCAGACAAATCTCCAGGTGAAAGGAAGGCCCGGCAGGGAAGGAGGAAGGAGGAGGAGCCCCTGTTTACCTGCTGTAGGGCTGAGCAGTGCAGCACCAGGCTGGGCTGTGGAGGCCCCAAGAGGAGGCTAGGTCATTTCCCACATGCTTCTGAAGGAAGGAGCCCCTGGCCGGGGGGTGGGGGGGTGGCGCACGCCTTTAATCCCAGCACTCGGGAGGCAGAGCCAGGCGGATCTCTGTGAGTTCGAGGCCAGCCTGGGCCACAAAGCAAGATCCAGGAAAGGCGCAAAGCTACACAGAGAAACCCTGTCTCGAAAAACCAAAAAAAAAAAAGGGGGGGGAGCCCCTGGGATCCCTGGCTTCTGTCCTCTTACCCATCAGCCATCAGTGGGGATCCCCTGCTCCTTCTGTCTCTCCACAGACCTGCTTAGAACGGGCATCCCGTGCTGTTCCCGAGGAATCGGAGTTGTCTGTGTTTGTTAGGTAGCCATCCTGCTCCTGGTTCCTGAGTTGGCGTCAGGGCAGTGGCCATTCCTCTCAGCCAGTAGGACCTGCCTCCTGTAAGACGGGCGGGGTCCTTTTCCTGCTAGCTATAATCAAGGCTCTGCTTTTGTGTGACAGTCCTCAATAGAGCCTTAGCTACTGTGGCCCTGAGGCTTGGAGACCTGTCCCTCCCTACCTCTCTCCAGTACTCTACCCCTGGCTTCTAAGTCAGGTGGGTGCGGGGGGGGGGGGGGGGACGACACCCATGAATGGGCGGTAGTGGATGACCTCAAGCCCTTGCTACAGTCTTGATTGAGGGTGGGCCCCTGAAGAAACTGAATCCTGAGACAACGCACCCACATCACCAAGAAGGAAATGAAAGGTCAGAGAGGTTATAACTCTGTAGCACGCATCTTAAAAGTTCTTATTAATAAAAACAAACCCAGAGCCAGGTATTGGGGTGAACGCTGAAAGATCAGAGAAACAGAACAAGCCACCGCCACCTCACCTTGTCAGTTCCTCAGCTGATCCTGTTTCCTCAGACTGGAAGCCTGAGTCCTCATCCAGAATGAGGATCTCAGCTGAACTGCTGCTAAAAGCCTAAAAGCTTAACCAGCCCTAGTTCCTGGTTTTCATGCCTTATATACCTTTCTGCTTTCTGCCATCACTTCCTGGGATTAAAGGTGTGAG